GTCTTTAGTAATTTTTTTTTTTTAAAATTACGAAAAGTTTTAGTCTTTTAAATTTAATTCGATGAGACGAACCAAAAAATTTTAAAAAATTCAAAAAAATTTAGAAAAGACCAAAAAAAAGACAAAAATAATGGAGTTTTTTTTGGCTTATTTTTTCTTTTTCAATTTTTTTTTTTTTACCTTTTAAATACATCTATACAAGACGGACTGGAAAAGTAAAAAAATTTAGAAAAAGAGATAGCTTTTTTTTTTTTGGCTTATTGAAATACCTTTTTGATTGAGTTTAATAACTAAAATACTCATTTTCTGTTGATTTTACTTAAGAAAAATAAACAAATTGTTTAAATTAAAAATAAATGAAAAGATTAATAGTTAAATTGATAAAATTGAAAACTCAAAGTTCATTTGTTACAAGTCTCAAGTATTGAGATATTTTTTTTTGTAATTGTCCATAAAATATATTTATGCCAAGTGACTGTGAATGCGTAATTTTTTATCAAATTTTAGACATAAATTAGTTTTTAGAGTATATTTTAAGTCAAAATAATAAAAAATAAATTTAGAAGCCAAAATGAAAAAATGACTCAACATAAAAGAATAGACTGTAATTTGTCTTATTTTAAAACCTTTTAGGGGTGGGTCCGATGTGATGATGTGGCAATGCCACGTCCACTGGCTGTGTCAATGGCTGTGAATATTTATTTATTTTTTTAAAAGATTTATGTATGATTTGAAATAATTTAAATAAGTATATTTTTTGACTTTTAAAAAAAAGATGTATAAAAAAATAAATAAATAATATAACTCAAAAGAAATAAAAAGATAAATAAATGCACTTTTGTAGTGCGCCTCAAACATCCTCTTAGAAAAAAATAAAAATTAATTCATAAGACCAGTAATGGTGAAATTTTGATCTCATTTAATTTTTAAGTTGAGTTTGAATAAAGAGTTTTAGATGAGTTCGGGTTCACTCGTCTATTTATAAAATATTAATGTTAATTTTTATATTATTTAATTTCAAAATAAACTAAAAAAATACTGAAAAAAAAAGAAAGAGATTATGTTTTCATGTTAGGACAAAATTAAAAATAAAAGGATTTATGAGTAGTATGGAGACTTTTTTTTTTTTAATCGAGAATAGTAAGAGTGTTTTCAACGTTTATTATTTTTTTATCAAATTTAAATTTAATGAAAAAAAGTCTAGTTTTAGTGTTCCAACGTTAACATCAAATGAATATCAAATTAAAAATTTCTTAAACTTTTCATCAAATTGAGAATGTCTAGAGCCTTTTATCAAATTACTTAGAAAGCCGTTGGGACCATACACCGGACGACCGGTCCGTTGTCTGATCGATTGTCTTCCTAGACAACCTCTTCTTTACTTTAGACTTCCAGTAAATTTACACTAAACCGGTCAACTGATCAGACATCTTCCTGATCGTCCTCCTAGTCAACCGGTGGTTTGATGAAAAATAAAAATTTTCCTTTGAATTACTTGATGTCAGATTAAGCTTTTACTCAAAATTTGATATTAAAAACAAAGAGTAAACGTTGGAAATGTTTTAAGGAGACTGATTGAATGGTGTGCTCAAATAATATATACATGCAATGTAATAGCCCAAAGAGTTCGCCTAGTAATCAAATTCTGAGTTAGAGGTATGCTCTATTTGTAGTTTCAAGTTAGAAATCTCTTTTAAGTGTAAATTTTTTTTTAAAGTTAGTTCATATGGAATTTTATCCAAACTTTAATTGGACCCCATTAATGGGCAGTAGGTTGATCCTTGAAATTAGTCAATCCATTAAGTTAAACACCAAATTATTAAAAATAAATAAATATATACATGCATTGCATAGTCATTTGTATATATTGAAATTATTACTATTTATGTCTCAAATTGTTTATTTGACACACAAAAAAAAAAAAATCAAATTATTATATTTAAATTATATTTCTTGTGCGGAATAAATAATTTGAGAAAGAGGGAATATTAGTTGGGGAGGAGGCACGTGCAACAGCCCAAACGTGCTCCTACAAACATTGCAATCACAATGTGAAGCTACTTACTTCCTTTCATTCCACATTAATTAATCACTTTATTTTAATTTGGTTTAATTAGTTTTTTTCTGTCAGTATCAAGAGTATCAAACTGACTTCAACTTTGTTGAAAAAACTAGAGAGATAGTCACACCTAATCCCAACTTATCCCCTAAAAAATATGAATTAATGGATTTTGGAATTTCGTCGGAGGGTTGCTTTAGTATTGGAAGTATCGAAATGAGATTTGTTTGTTTCAAATCATTTTGGTTTAGTCACACCAGTCTTAAAAGGGACAACATATAGCACACGTCTCACATGTGAAAACAGAACCAAGCTGAGAAAATTAGGCATACCAAAGGGTCAAACTTTGTGTCTTCAATTGTTTGCATTTGCTCATTCATGGCCAACTATTAATGGACAGTGATGGTTTGCATCATAAACCTCACCAATTACAATACCTTTATACTCTCAAATAAAGCCAGGATAATTAGGCCTCGTTTCGGAATAGGTTAATTTAGTAACTTTTTGGTTATTTGGTTAAAATATGAGCTAAAAAAAACTAGTATGTTTGGGATGACTTTTTGGCTTTTTACGAAAAGATGTGCAAAAAGTAGAGAGAAAAGAGAATCTTTAACATTTTGGTATGAATTGTTGGCTTTTTTGCTAATTTAGTAATTTTTTGACTTTTTAGCTAAATGGGAGGGTTCCCAAACGAGGCCTTAGTAGGGATTTAAACAGAAATTCAATATTGGTTTCAATGTGCATTTGTCGGTCAAAAGAGATTTGAATGACAGCCAATTCTCTTTTACCATATTTGTTTGAGCATATATGATTTTGCAATTGGATTAATAATTTAATAAAATACTTTTTTTTTTTTTTGATTATGGAAATTAGGGTCTGAACTACTAATTTATCTGAAAATTGTACTCTTTACATTAAAAGAAAAAATGTTTATGAGAAGATGAAGAAGAGATCTAGACTAAATAACTAAATTACAAAAATATGCAATTTGATAGGATTTTGTTGGTCATCTTCATAATATCAAATCAATCCAAACATAAAAATAAAATACACAATCAAAAGAACTAATAATTCTAAAACCAACAATCTTACGAATACTGATCACATCTCAGCAAGTTCACCAAGCAAGCATGACCTTTTTTGCCTTGGGTTTAGCTCAATGATACACAACTCTTTGTGCCCTTAAATTCATTTCTCTTATGTTGTATTCAAATAATGGAATTGAGTATGGATTTGAAAATAGAAAAAATGAAAAATGAAAAAAAAAAAAAAAAAAAAAACCTTATTTTTCTTTAAATTTTTAAAAAAAAAAAAACCTTATATTTCATTCAGATTTTTTATTTTGTTTTTTCAATTTTTTCCTAAATTTACGATCCAAACAGCATTAAGGCTCATCTAACTGATGGGTCACCATTGTGTTGGCTTGGCTATGTCAACTCTCTCAAGAGATGATATGGTAGCTGAATAATAGACTATGATGGGTCTTGTTTGGACTAAATTCGACCAAGGCCTTCATTGAAATGATCTTCCAAGGCTTGGGTAAGTTCTGCATTGGGAAAAAAGATATCATGGGCTTTGTCCAGAAAGCTCAGCCCATGTGGTTTGCATCGCCACTGCCGAAGTATTCACATCCATCCTCAATATTATAAGAAATTCTATTTTCACACATTTAATTAGTTCTGTATATTTTTTTTTAATATACACATCTATTAATTTAATTATTAACTAATTTTTTCAATACATACACTTAAATTTATAATTACATCCTTCGCACATAACCATTGTACACAGACCGCTTTACCGTCCTTTCCACACACTTTTATTGACCCTACTTCACATTTGTAGTTCCAAGTGAAGACCAAAGGCACTAATGTTTCTTCCGTTAAAGACCTCCATTGAACCTCCAAAAATAAAAATTAAAAAAAAAAAACTAACATTTTTGTTCTTTACACTCAAGGCCCATTGAATAATTGGAGTGGTTTGAGAATGAAATCGAGACGTGGCACTTAAGGCCCGTTTGTTTTGGAATATGAGAGGGGGATTGGGATTAGGATAGCTGTAGGTCTCATTTAATGTTCTGTTTGTTTACAGAAATGAGGAAGGGACTACTAAGTCGAAGGGCTTAGGATAGGCCTTGCAGATGGAATTTGGATGGGCCTCCAGGACTTGGTATTAGAAAAATAGATAAAGTCTGTAGCAAGCAATGTGAGGTTGTATTTGGTGAGGCTTTGTAATTAATTTTCCACCGACTGATTTGAATGCTACGTTTGGTTTTAGTTTTCAAAAATCATTTTCACACCTGCGTTTGAAAACTCGTTTACCCGGTCATCCCTTTGGACGTCCCCCCGGTTGACTGGAACAGTTTTTTTTTTTTTTTTTTTTTTTTTTTCTCCCTGCTATTTTTATATTTAGAAAAAATATATATTTTTCAAATTTTTTTTATAATTTTTTATGAGTTTTGAATAGAGTTTTGAATTGTGTTTTGATTAAGAGTTGTAAGTTTTTGAATCAAATATGATATGTCACATTAAAAATTTCAAACTCAATTCAAAACTTATTTTCAAAATTCTCTTCAAAACTCATAACCAACACAAATTTTTCTTACTCAAATCATGATTTTAAAACTCACAAACTCAAAATACAACTCTATTATCAAATCATAATTTTAAAACTCTACCAAATACTACTTAGGATTTACTTTTTTTTAACTGAAAATGCGTACATTGAGATTTTTTTGTTCTTAAAAGATATGTACAGAAATTTTTTTCATATAATATTATGGATGTTGCTGGATGTCTATTTGTGAAACCCCGTAATTTTATATAATAAAAATAATATATATGTATTTTTAATTTTCTTAAATAATTATTCGCAATATTTTGAATATAATT